AGGAAGAAACATGATCAGAGCCAAAAGAGTCTTCTGTTTGTTTGTTCCCAGCAAGCTGTCCCTGTACCGTGGCAGGATCATTCCTTCATGTTCCTTTTTCCATTGCTTGTTTTTAATTTAGTTCTCAACAGCTCATGCAATAATCCCCTACCTTCCATTTGCTCACTGATATTTGCAGCGTAGCCCATGTCCTCATGAGTTATTGCTTACTGAAGCCAGACAGATTTAGCTCTTCTAATCTTTCCTGGTGAGTCAGTGCCTCTGGCCCCTGAACTGTTATATGCCTCTTCTGTAAGTACCCTCTATTTTGTTGAGGTGTACGTGGAAAAAGGACATGCAGAGTTGAACGTGTGTCTGTATAAATACATCTCTAATGCTGAGTATGAGGGATTTTCTCCTGTACTGCTGTTGGGATGGCTGTGGGATTAGGAAGTCCAGACTTGAGTGAGACATGGTGATTCGTGCTCTGCTATTTTCCCAGCTTTTTGCAGACTGCAGTTTAGGATCTTTGGAGTGTTCATACCATTGAAGTAGACACAGGGGAGCTGCTGTCAGTGAAATTGTCTGATCTCTCCTTTCTCATTCATGCAATCGATTTGCACAGTATTTTGTGACAATAAATTGTGCAATTTAATTGTGCTTTGTACTAAAAAGTGTTTCTTCTAAGCCTGCTGCTGAAGTTTCATTGAATATCACTAATTGTTTTGTTTTCAAATATGGAATAATGATTTTTCTATAACATTATTAATGGCATGAGGAAGGTAAATATATCTCTATCCTTTCTCCTCCCCCTGTTCAAAGAATCCTCACTTCCCCTCATATGGAACTATTCAACGTTTTTTTTCTGTTAGTGGTTTGCATTAAGATCTGGCCTGATAAAGATCTCTGCAGGACACTGCTTCTTGGTTCTCCACTGATCACTAGTACTTGATCTCTGTTAGTTCTTAGCTTGTATAATGTACACTTAAAAATAGTATCATATGATGTCAATAAGAATGTCTTGTGGTAACAAGTTTCATGTTTTACAAAAGTCTGCTTGTTACAGTTATACTATTACTTTATCAGCCAAGTTTAGAACCTTGCCAAAGAATGAAATAGTGCTGTTTGGGGGGGTGCCGGGGGGGTTGTTTTTAGTTTTTTGTTTGTGTGGCTTTTGTATGTGTGGGTGTTTTGCAAGACCTAATTTTCATAAAATTCAGCTGCTTGTCATGAATTGTATCTGTCTAGTAAGAAGCACGTGTACTAGTTCTTCAATTACTTTTATGGAATTGAGGCTAGCATGACTGGTCTATAGTGGCAAGCATTGTTCTGTGTAACCTCTTTATCTAACCATGCAATGTGAATGCTATTTCAGGTTGTGAAGGTTCCAGAATTTAATAAATATTCTATATGCAGATCAGAGATCTTGGTCAACTGTTGCAACTCTTGGGTACAAGTTACCCAGACCTTCTAAGTTTTAAATAATTATTTGTTCTTTATTGATGATATTTAATGGAGTCTTTAGCTGCTGATGGAGTGAAATGTGCTTTGTCATCATCAGATGATGCATGTGCATCACCATGCTTCTATCCAAATACAAGTCAGAAGTATTTATTGCGTGTTTGGCTTTTCTGTGTCACTGTTGAGAATCCAGTCCCTTTTAAAGTTTCAAGTGATATGAATCCATGGATCAGAAACGTACCTGCCTTTAGACATATGGCATGTTTAAAAAAAAGATGTCTATGCATGCAGAAACTTGCTGCCTTCTGGAAATAAAACCCTAAAGCCCCCACTTCCTTAGATATGTCAGAAAGAGCAACCCAGCCTTTCAGCAGGCTCTGAAGTGCAACAACTCCATGCTTTGGCGCTATGAATCCTGTGAATATCTAGTTTGCTGCCACTGTGTCTGCTGTGCGCCTGCCAAGGGCAGGTTGCAAAAATCCTTAGCTGGCAGTTTGAAGGACACAGCACTGAATACTGTTCCAAGTCTAATAGGATAATGTTCAGATATGCCTTGGCCCCTACTAAAAAGTAAGCCTGTCCATGTGTGTTGCATTTCTAGTTTATGTGCTGCAACTTTGAAAATTTAGCATACAATCACAGAATGAAAGGATCAAGAGAATCTGTTAAAGGATAGCTAATTTAAAAACATGCAAGAAATAGGCTGGGATGGAATCAATCCTCGTTTGAGTGAATTCCTCAGAAATCTACTGGCAGAAACACAGACTGGGGAGGTGGACAGAGGAGAGGGGAGGGAAGCATACCTGCTTCCTTGGCTTATACTTTGGTGCGATTGATAGGAGAAATGGGCTTCTCCTTGTCTTCAATGGGCATTCAGGGAGATATCGGTGTTAGGCTGAAGTGATGGCTTTTTCCATTTTCCCATTCCTCCCTTCCCCGCTAGCACTTTCCCATGGAGGGCATGCATGCCTGCCTGCCTGCCTGGAAGGAACTAGGAAGAAACACTGGATGTGTAGCCCAGTTAATGAAGGTTTGCCTATTCTGCTGATGTTGGGGAGCAGAATCAGATGAGTAACATGTTCTAGGTGGGGAAAATCACTGATTTGTTGTTGTGTGTGAGACGTGCCATTGTTGGGGTGGGTGGGTCCCTGATTCTGGAGGCAAAAATAGAAGAAGAGAAAAAACACGTGGGAAAGTCGCGGACAGTGATTGCAGAAGCTGTGTTGTTCTGGGCTATTAGGGCAATTGTTTGCCACGTTTCCAGAGTCTGTCAGTCTAGGTATCAGGAAAGTCAAGGCAGCTCTGAAGCAGCCTTGGGATAGACATGCTATCGGAAGAAATACCTTACAGTTTTAGTGGAAGAAAAAGCAGTGTCTTGGCCATAATGTGCAACACTAAATGTAAAAAAACTGAAAAGCCCTAATAGGAAACTGGATCCAGTTTCTTCTTTCTCAGGTTCATATTCACATCATTCTTTTCATAGACTTAAAATGACCATTCACCAGTTTGAGTTCTTGCAACACGGTCTTGGTGCAAGGACTCATTTGTTTGGGGTGTTTGAAATCTTCTTTCTGGCCTAAATATATTTAGGTCCAATTCATGTCTATTTGCTGTTGTTCCAGCAGTGTCTTTAAATTTAATTAGGTCTAATTCCTCCTTGGTGTTTTGTTCTTTCATTTTATTTCTATAGAAATGAAGCTCTTAACCCTCAGCCCAATTGACTTTTCTGACAAGGTCCCCCATGTTTTCGGGCAAGTTTCTATGAATCTGCAAAATGCATCTTTCTTTGTTGTTTATCTTTCATTTAGTTAAAACTTCATCAACTTATTGTGCAAATGGGAGCCGCTTTCTGGAAGTAGTAACTTTGTGAATTCCTCACTTTTTGTCAGAAGCATGTCAAAAGCGGCATCCTGTCTTAGTGAGTCAGTCACTGAACAAATCCATCAGCTACTTAATTTGGAAATATCTTTTATGTTATTAGAGTACTCTAGTCCATGTCTGGGAACCAGGTCTTCAGTGGTCTCTAGAAGTTTGTGCTGAATATAGATAGAAGTCTTTAGAACATTATTAAGATCCAGCAAGACTGGGGAGAAGAAAGGAAGTAGATATTTGTAGTTAGATCCAGCCGACTCCTTCACTCAAGTATGTTTGTCTAATCTATAACTTAGTTTACAGTGTGCTTTCAATCAATGATGTTCAGAGCTATCTCATGACCTCCGTATTTCTCTGTCTCACCTGAAGAATGCATGTCTTTCAGTACTTGGATTTCATTCAGTCACAAAGTCTTGCACCTGGGAAGATGTACTTAATGGACTGACTTGAATCGAGGGTTCCCTTGTGAAGGATCTGGCAGGAATTGTCAACTTTGCGATTGACTGGGCACCAAAGGAAATGGCAAAGAACTCCATTCTAGTTCTTCATTTCCTTTTTTTTTTGTTGTTTTGATCTTAGCAGAATGTGAAGCTCACACAGACTCTTGCTTCGGTCATTGTAGAAAGTAAAGAAGGATTTGTGGGGAGGGGATTAAGGAAGGCAAGTCTACTTCTTTTGCTGCCCACATTGTGGCCTGACCTAAGGCAAGAGGACATGATGTTGAAGGTAGACACCTCTGCAGCAGCCGCTCTCTGTTCTGGACTTTGTTTCCAGAGAAGTGACATCTGGAAGACAGCAAATTTGGTTCTCTCCAGGTGTCTATGTACTTTTCTTTCACTTATCTCACCAGCTCCTTGGTCCTTGGCCCTGACAGATCCCTGAGAGTCCTGTATCCCACTCCCTTCCATATATCCTACCACATGTTCTGCATCTTCTCTCTCATGACTGAGGCAGCAGGAACCGTTTACGCTAGTGTCCTGAATATAGACAGTTTCAGTTCAAGTCTGAGTAAAAGTATTGCTTTTGGAACTTGGGTGTAATTTGGTATGTGGAGGTGGGAGAGAGGAAGGAAAAGAGACTTCTGTATTGCACAGCCACAATCTTGATCCTGCCTGTGCAGAGGGGAGAAGAAGAAGGAGTCAACTGGACAAAGCAGATGGCTTTTTCAGACTTGCTTATTGGCTTTGCTCTATTGGTGGAAAGCAAGTATCTATCCAGAGTATTCTGGAAGAGGTGCAATTCTTGTTACTGCATGCTACTCTGGGGTGACCCTTAATCTCCCAGTAGTTGTATATAATTAGACTCCAAAGGGAGCCATGTGGTAGAGCTGGGCTGTGATGTGAACACCATCCCTGCTTCTTTGTCCAGTCCCATCCCACTGCTTCTCAGTTTACTTTGTGGTGGACATCTCATTCTGATGTGTTCATTACAAGCAAACTGACTCTTGGTCTTGAGATGTAGTTCAGGGCTCAACTGTGAAAAAGGCTTTGTTTGTCTAAATGTATTTTAACTTTGGTCCCTTTGAGGCATGGATACCACACCTTACACAGACATGTGAGCAGATGCATGCATATAAAGTTTGAACTCTTGTGCTTGTTCTCTTATGTACTCATCCCTTGCTCTTCAAGATGTTTTTGGCCTTCTTGCTGTCTGCGCTGACTTGTAACCTGTGTCTATTCTCCTTCCAGTTGACACTGACTATCGTACGGCAGACAGGGGGGCTGGGCATCAGCATCGCAGGGGGCAAGGGCTCTACCCCCTATAAGGGTGATGATGAGGTAAGACCTTGGGCCGTGTAATTATTGAAGCACCCACTTACAGGAACTAGTTCTCTGTAGCTCTGTTGGATATCCATATGTATCAGCCCTGCAGCCAGGCTGGGCTTTTGCAGAGCAAGGTGGGAGCAGTCTTTGACCGTGCCAGAAGTAAGAGGCTGACAGGGCTGAACAAGCTGTTGCCTCTGGAACCCAAGTTCTGGTACGTGCAAACTACTGACTACAATAAGGAGGAACAACACTGTCTTTCCCATCTGTGCCCTTATGTACAGGACTCAAAAGGGGAAGGGTGTGGGGTTGTCTTCCATGCATGTGGTGACATCAGCTGTGTCATATCCTCATCCCACTGGAAGAGGATTAAGTGTCGTTCCCTTTTCCACTTTGTCACCTGTGAGATAGCCCTGCAATGGGGCTTCTTTCCCCTTTGCACCAATTCCTGAATGAGGTGATGTGGCTGTCCTGTTTCCCCAATCCAGGGGATGAGATTGATGAGGGATTTCCCCTTTCCCTGAAACTGAGTAGGGCCGAATGTTCTCCTTCCACGCTCTCCAGGGCTCAGGAATGGGCTTCACCTCTTCTAACATGTAATTTTGTTTTCAGGGCATCTTTATTTCACGTGTGTCAGAAGAGGGTCCTGCAGCTCGTGCAGGGGTTCGTGTTGGGGACAAGCTCCTGGAGGTAAGAACCTAGCTGCTGTGAACAAGTAAATGACTTGAGCTAGTAATGACTAGGGAGTGCAGGGAGAGATGAGGTTTGATATTTATTTGCATCACACTGATCCATAGGCCAAATTAAGCATGAGGAGCTGTGCAAGAACAAAACAAAATCCCCCAGCTCAAAGAGCTAGTTGTTTAGTTGCTATTACCATTAATCCTTTGCTGTTTTATAAGGACATAAATTGCTCCTGCACTCATTCTCCCCAAATCTGAAGTGTTCCGTAACCTAGGCAGGTAGAGATACCAAGTGGTGTGTGCCAGCCTCTCCAAAAGGCTGAGCAGCCAGCCTGTACACCCACTATCAGTTTCTACTTTCTTAAAGGGTCAAAAGCAGACCCTGTAAGACAAACTCTTAACCAGAGGGCCTCTGCTTAAGATACCTTGTACCTGCCTCTCTTCAAATTATTTTAAACATGATTAATTATACAGACTCAAAATCCACTTCAGGAAGGACTGATTGCATCATGCAGGTAAATATCTATTGTTACAGTATTGGATTGAGGTCAGAGAAATAATTGGTCTGTATTTGTAGCACTACTCCATGTTCATGAGATCTAGTATGGTCTCTAGGTATGTCATGCACTCCTACTGGCTGCAGCCTACATCTTAGCTGTAGAGGCCTGGGCATCTGCCTGACTATAAGTTCCTTTCTTTCTCACTGCTTACCTGGCGTTGACCATAGGAGAAGTCACGTAAAGTGCTACGTGGTTCTTTATTTAAAAGTTTTTGTATTGGATTCATGAGATAAACTTCATTCTAGAGTTTAAAAAGCTACAGTGCTCGTTTGTGCAATTATCATAACACTGTCTTGATGACTTCATGAAGTCCAAAAGGAATATCCCCTTGATCATCTAGTGTGATATTTTATATATTGCCTTAAATGTCACCCAGCATTCTTGTGCTGAATATATCGTCTTGTATTTTGCTGCAGAGTGACTTCCAAAAGGGAGTCAGATCTTGAAGATTTTGAGAGATGAATTTTTCCTCCTTTCCTCAACAGTTAAATTGATGGCAGTTTACTATTTGATAGGAAGTAGATTCATCTTTGGTCATGGCTCTCGGAAAAGACTAATTCCTTTTATTTTTGATTTGCCTTCCTATGATACTCATTCATCTATGCCTCCTGCAAAAGTAGATGTACCCTCATAACATTTCTCAAGAGATCAGTCGTATTCCTACTAACATACTGTGTATGTCCACAAGTAAGAAATGGCTGAGGCACATTGGAGTTGGGTTGACTATGAATTGTAAGAAATACATCTTTACCCTTAGAATAAGGATATAAGACTTTGCTCAGTGATGAAGGCCATGATGGGGAGAAATTCTGAAATACCACTACGTAGAAAAGATGAGATATGAGCTTCTAGTGTTCAGATGGAGCCAGACAACCCTTCCTGTAAGTGTGTATTAACATGAAATGAAGCAGCTGCTATGAAAGGAAGATTCTTCAAGCTTCCTGGACCCCAACTTTGCAATTCCTTAATCTCCTGATGTGGTAGGACTTCATGTCTGAAGTCATGGAAACAAGAGTGGAGGGAATTGGGTTGCTTCCCTGAGGACTGCAGAACCTGCTGTCCTTCCTGAAAGTACTTTACCAGTTTTGCGTGGAGGGGAAGGGAATGGGTATCTCAGGTTATGAGGAGGTAGATGCCCTTCTTAAAGCTCAACAAGAAGTCATGTCATCCTGAGTTGCACTGAGATCTGTTAGGGGAGATAGGTTTTGGTGAGCAGTAACCTGACTGGGGGGGTTCCCGTGGGATGTGTGTTTGCTGTCTGTAGAGGTGTATCCCTGACATCACAGGTGACCCTGTATCACCTGACAGAGGTGACAGGAGAAGTTAGAGCTCCCTTGAGGGAGAATTCCTCTGGAAGAACCTTTACTCCTTTTGGCAGGGACTGTCCTTGTAGGCAGTGAGATAGGTATCACATCTTGTAGGAGCCTCTTGTGCTGTGTTCAAGTGTGAGGAAACTCCCTTGCTGGCAGCACATGAGGTCTGGGGTATCCCCGTGGAAACAAGGTGGCAATAGAGAGCTGTGTAGGAGATCAGCTGTATTTTTTGTGGGGCAGCAGATACTAAGGCTAAGGCTGGAGCTATCTGTGCAGACTGTTGGAAGAGCTCCCTGTGGAGTTCAGGATTGTGCCCAGCTCTCTCTGTCCCCAGGTGAACGGCGTGTCCCTGCACTGTGCTGAGCATCACGTGGCAGTGGAAGCACTGCGTGGATCAGGAAGCTCCGTCTCCATGACAGTTCTGCGAGAGCGGATGGTGGAGCCAGAGAACGCCATCACTGTCACACCACTGCGCCCTGAGGATGACTACAGTCCTCGTGAGAGGCGAGGTGGTCTACGCTTCCCAGAGCGGCCTGAGGGGACACCTCCAACAGAGAGATACTCCACCTGCCTCATGCGCAATGAGAAGGGTCTGGGCTTCAGCATTGCTGGTGGCAAAGGCTCCACACCCTACCGGGCTGGTGACACGGTCAGTGATGATCCCTGGGAGTGAAGGTGCTCAGTCACCAAATCTCTGCACAGGCTGTGGAGCAGCGCAAGGTCTTCCTCACTTTTGGCAGGAAGCAGCAGCATGGCCCAGGGACCCTGGGGCTGGTGGGCCAGGCAGGCTCTCTATCTTCCCTGTGCTGAGAGGCAGAATCTACTCTAAGCTGGGGATGGAGAGAAGCTCAAAAAGAGGTGGAGCTGAGACTGGCAATCCATGCCAGTGACATTTAATCCTGCCTCTGTCCTCTTGACTACATATATTCTGGGCTCAGGGCCACATGAAGGCTTTGCTGCAGCTGGAGGTTTTGCAGGTGGCTCTAGAAGCAGAAGAGGATTTGTGTGCAGAGTGAGGAATGACGGGGAAATGCCAGGGCAGAAGGGGAGGAGTCTGCTGATGGAAAGGGGCTGAGACTTTCCTAGTGCCAGGGAGCAATTCTGGGAGGCAAAGGCCCTGGTGAGGGGAAACACAGGCTGCTCTGACCTTCCTGACTGTATTTCAGGGGATCTTTATCTCACGGATTGCAGAGGGTGGTGCAGCCCATCGGGACGGGACTCTGCACGTAGGAGACCGGGTCATCTCGGTGAGTGTGGGTATATGGGGAAGGGCAAGACGGCCTGGCCGAGGGGTCTGACTCATTGCTCCCTGGGTAGCAATCACAAGTACAGCTCCCTGCCCTTCCTCAGACAGGAGCTATTTTCCTGTCACTGAAGCTGGAGCGTTGGAGTCCTTTTTTTCAGCTCCTTGACCATCTGGGAGAGCATTTAAATCTTGGTGGTTCGCCCCCTGCCTGTCACCAGTTTGTGACTGGCAGTGGGTGTAGTTAATGCCTCCCCTTTTCCCCACAAGTGCTGCAAGTGAGTACTTCCCCGAAAGGACTGCGTGCAGCAGTCCAGGCTGCCCTGAAGAGAGGGGATACTATGGCCCTGCCCTGGCCTGGGTCTCTCTCCAGAGCCTTGTAGGACAACTTTGGAGGCCTCTCCTGCAGTGCTCTAGGACATGTGGGAAGGGGAGCCCTTCTGGGGCACAGCTGACAACTGCTCCCTGTGGAAATCAGGGTGGCAGGGGTCAGTGCAGGCTGGAGAGAAGGAGGGCTAACTGAGAGTGCCGTGGGGCTGGACAGTGCGTATTGCAGTCCTTTCCCCAGTCTTTCATTTGAAACTCTGGCACCAGTTTTCCATGCTGTTTGTGTCAGTAGTATGAATCTCACTGCTGCCTTTAACCATCAAGTCTCTCTGCCTTATGTGTCACCTGCTCCTCCTTCCTGTGGCGAGAGTCTGCTGAGTCTCCTCACCCTCTTCCCAAGCTCGCATGCTGCCTCTGAGTGAATGAAAGCTCCTGCATCCCTAGTGCTGGTGGTGGGTTTCCAATCCAGCTGCTGTGGTAAGAGCACGTGTTACCACAGGGCTGGTGTGTGTAAGCACTGATACAGCCTTGTCAGTGCTGGCTTCTGTCTGCTCTATCCCTAGGCTGGGGGCTGTGTTGTATTCTCTCTGGCACAACATTTTAATGGAGCTCTGGCCTAGGTCTGGCATTTCTATTGACAGGGGACCGGAAATGGTACAGACTCTCTCCTCCCTTGCTAATATTTCCCCCTGCTCCCCAAATCAAGCCACTGCCCTGCCGGCTAGCCTAATTCATTTGGTTTTAGCTCATCTTTTGATGCTCTACTGGTATGGAGGCATGACTGAGAGACCTCATTGTAGGCACACAGCCTATTGTATGGTGTTGACAGGCTTTACTTGTGGCAAGAAAGAGACACAAGATCGCAGAGTAGAGTTAGAAGTGAAACCTGCTTCCATGCACCTCCTCACCCCAACCCTCCATTAGCAGCTATATTTGTTTCCATAGGCAACTTCCTAGAAAAAGCAGATGTAATTCCCTAGAAACAGCTTGTAGTGTCTTCAGACTGCTCTATATGGGCTCAAGGCTTATAAAACTCAGGAGCATTAATAGATTTTGATATGGATTAAGGCCTTGCTGTCGTTGGTCCTCTGACACACCTTGCTGTCATGAAGAATGCAGTGTTATTGCATAGACAGGAAATATGTCCATGCTTGAGAGCATGTTCCTGTGTTGAGGTGTGTGCAGGAATAAGAGATGTGGTGCTGAGCATCAGCTACAGCTCAAACCCTTTGATCAGTGTGATAGGAGCAAATTATTATCTTCCAGGGAAATACTTGCCTCGTCTGGGCATTTCACATAACTTCCTCTACTTTCCAGCAAGTGTCTGACCTTACCATCTCCAGCAGCCTTGCCTCCTGGCAGCAGCTGCCATTCTGTGTTTCCTGTTTGTGGGATTTACTGCTAAGTAGGATGTCCACACGTTGGTGGAGGTAGTGTTATATCCTGAGGCCTCTTGTGCCTTCCAAGAGGTATTTGTCCTCAAGAATTTCTGCCTCTTGTAAGAGAGGTAGAAGCAGCTCTATATGTTTTACCCTGTTTGTGGCCAAGTCTGGCGCTAGCTTAGACCTGTGGTACTGCTCCTGCCCAGCAGTACAGGATGTTGAGAGTGTTCACTACAAAACAGTGCCCAGCTAACATCACATAAATTCACTACTTACTGCAACTCTTTCAAGGCACAGATCACCCATTGTTATTGTGAAGCTTTTCAGTATGTGATGATTCCTGGGACATGCTGTGCAGGCTGCAGATATTCCCTAGATCTGCCTGCATGAGGAAAGCAAGAGGGCCCTGGCAGGATGCAGGCAGTTTCATATGTCCCATTTGCCAAGGCCACAGTCTCCTAGTCATGCCTTTGTTCTCACTTTACCAAAGAATTTTTGATTTCTTAGGAAAAGAAATACAGCACAGCTTCCTATTCTCATCCTGTGCTCGAAGCCATCCTGGACTTCCCTGCAGGGAAGGACGGGGATGACTCCTTTTACTTGCTTCAGGGAGCTTTGAGTATATGGATTGAAGAGCCCAGCCTAGATCTCTCTTCAAAGTTAACACCCCACAAACCTCACTCGTGATTGACTACTAACTCTCCAGCCCTCCCCATATGCTAGTCTCTTGTGAATAACACCCTGATATAGCTGTGTGGTGGCTATCGTGAGAGTTGTCTTGGTAGCAAAAGACATGGGGCAGGGAACTGCAAGGGGGGGAGCGTTAGAGAGTTTGAATCATGGGATAGGAGTCCAGTATGGAGGGTGCCGAAGCGGGAGCGGTGACTAAGGACAGACAGTTTGTTGGGACAGGATTGGGAGCAGAATGAAGAAAACTGGTTTAGGGGGAAATTGAGGGCAGTAGTAGCACCAGGCAGTAAATGGGGGTCCTAGTAAAAGCAGCTCAGTCACTAAGAAGTTCTCCAGAGATCTGTAACTCCCTGGTTACAGAACCATAAGTGGAGCTAGTGAAGGGCAGATGATACCCTTTCCTTTCCTCTGGGCACTGGATAGCCAAACTACTCTGATTGGCCTTCTCTTGCTAAGCAGAGGCATGGCAAGAAAGGCCACTGAAAGCTAGCTGTCCAAAAGCTTAAAAGTCAATGTGACTTGCTGGCCAATCAAGAAATTCATGAGGAAAATGCTGTCATGGGCTACTATATGTGATACACCTCTGACTCAGAGAGTTCCTATGTTCCCAGATCATTAGTATCTGTGGAAGTACCATGGTATAATTGTGGTCTGACCAAGCCTGATCATTCTTGTTATCAGTGGTGGTGAAATAATCACAGAGAACGATTTTCAAAGGGGAATGCATGAAATCAAGAGTTCATGCTGCTACTGCAGGTCTGTCTCTGGAACGTATCGGGCCTTGATCTGGTGAAAAGAGCCAAATGGCTAAGTCTCTTCTCTTGTGTGTCGTCTTTGCTAAAAAATGCTGGATCTGATGGACTGGAGGACCCGAAGGGTTCTACCCTTCCCGGTCCACTGGATGCAAGGCTACAGTTTCTCCCCATTCCCAGGTCCAGCCACGTTAGCAAGGCTGAGTGCAAATTGCAAAGATGAAAGAGCGCACACATTCACACACACTCCTACACCCTACAGGCGTAGCTAGCCATAGATTAAAGAAGACAGGAAGGAGGAAAGTACCTTTACAGGTACCCACATAAACACAAACAGCTCTCGTACAGGGCATGAACAACACAAATGACTTGACTCTATTCCTGCTTGGTGGTTAATCAGGTTTAAAGTTTGCTAGTGAAACATATACGTGCACTCTCTCACTTAACTCACATGAATGTTCACATTAGCATGTCTCTTCAGTCTGTGGGCCAGATGTTGGGTCTTTCCAGATTCTAGTTTCCTACTTTGTGTCTAGTTCAACTTTAAGTTCAGTAGCAGATCTCTCCTTCTCTCTCCATCTGTCTCGCATGTGCCCACACAGAGAATAAAGCGCGAACTCACTGTAAATGGGAATAGGGTTTGATAAAAAGATAGAGCAGCCTTTGGTGGTCATGCACAGGACTTGACCAGGCAAGCATACTGACCAGCAGCCTGCTTACATGTGATCAGCCTCTTCTATTCTCCACCAACTCCATTTTCCCATGCTGCTTTCTCCCTGATCCACTTTGACCCCTCCCTTTCCCTGATATGGTTCCCCCCTCCCCCAAAATATCCCATAATGAGTTTTGCACATTCCACAGTCTCCCTTAGAAATTCCTGTAGTAAGTGTGCTCTTTCTCAGGAGACCTGTTTTGATAACCCATTATAATCTTCTTCCTTTTCATATTATTGGTTGCTCTGTTTTTGGTCGAACCAAATTCAAAAAAGAATCAAGGTTACCTTTAAGTGATTCCTTTAATGATTCATTGATCAGTGCCTTGCTGGTCTTCACAGAATCACAGAATGGTTGAAGTTGGAAGAGACCTCTGGAGATCATCAGATCGTCATAGTTCAACT